TCCTTCAACGCGTGGCACTGACGTACCAGATAGACCAGAAATAGGGGCGGTCCAACGAGTTACTCGTAATCCCAGTTGGGAGGAACAGTCGGCGGTGATCGCGCTAATCTGCGAAGCAGAATCAACTAGAGCACGTACGGTGTGTAACACACCTCCGCAGTCACGAATGTGGACTAACACGGTCCCTAAAATGACGGACGATGACTGCTGAGAACCACTGCCGACGCAAGACGACTGCGCGGGAAGGGCGTCGCGTGACTGCCGATTGTCGGGCGTTGGACTGTGACTCCTCGCCATAGCAACTGTAACGACCTGATGTAACAACGGGTGGTGTCGGCGAGAGCACTTGTCACAATTTACCGGTGACTTGCAATCTGGAGACCAATGACCAACGCGCAAGCAACGAAAACAACATCGATTTTCACGGGCCCAATTTTCACGGGTTTCTACGGACCAACCGATAAATTTCTGACACGAAGTCACAACATGGGAGCCCTTACAAATAGAAYATGATYCCTTTGGCTTTGACGACGCTGCACTAGACACTAACGATGTTGATTGTGGCCGCTTAGAATGATTAAAGCCGGGCACGGAAGGTTTCGAAGTGTACGATTGTTTTGGTGGCACTGAGAGCTTTACTGCTTTGCGTGCCGCATCGTTTGGCACACACTCAAGTACGTTGACACGGGATTTAACGAACGATAACAGATCACTAACGGTTGGAAACCTACTCGACAATTGAGCTTCAAAAAGCTTGATCGTGTACGACGGCAAACAGCGCGACGCGACCGAAAATAAAATAAAATCACCGAGGTTCGGGAGGTYCATTGAATTGAGAACTGAGATTCCCTCGTCAAAAACCAATAGAAAGTTATTTAGTTCGAACAATGTTTCGTTCGATGATTTCGGTGCCGATAAMAATTTGTCTATGAGCGACGAAGCTACTAAACGTGGTCTGTCAAAACGCGCCGATAATGTGGACCACGCAAGTGCGTAATTATCTGCGCATACCGGTATGCCTGAAATTGCTTCTAACGCTTTATCCCTCAAACAACCGGTTAAATAATAAAATTTATCTATATCCGTAATATTAGGGTCCCGATCAACCATGGACACGAAGTGATCACGAAACATCAACCATTTAAATATATCACCGTAATAGATAGGCAATGGCATCTCCGACAACCGGGATGGTTTTGAGTACGACATATTTCGAGGAACAGAAATGGTACGATCGCCGCTACTTGTTTTATTACGTTCAATTATCGTTGTCGGATTACGCGCCGCCTCGCTAACAATAGGTTTAATATTACCTTTTGRGTCGTCATTGGGGTGTAACTTATTCACAGATTCTTGGCTCGCGACGGATGTCAACGAATCTCGACGACTAGACACATCAAAACTACGATCTGACCTGTGTCGATTGAGGATCGCACGGGAAACCGAGATCAAATCGCGAAGCTCTGCGACTTGATCAATGGGATACTCTTGTTCCCGACCTAAGTATATCAAACTATCGAGCAGCGCGTCGTTGTCGAAAGTAAATTTCGACCATACGTCATCGATTTCACCAATAAGAAGTGATAACTGGTCCACTAGGCTTGGGTCCTGATCACAACGCAATGCGAGGTCGTGCATCGCACGAATACGCTTAATACTCTCATCTCRTTTTAAACCGGCCTTTATACGAGTGCGCTCAACACTTACCTGGTCCTGCATTGCTCAACGCCAACGCTTACCTCACCAATAAACCGACAATCGTATGCCCGCGACCCGTCACACTAAAAACAATCGGCCGTACCGTTGTACAAAAGTTACAATAAGAATTTAAATTAACCGTAAAACTAACCACGCTCTGCTACCAAAAATGTACCACCAGGCTCCTACGGGGAAGGCGGTTGGCCTAGGATGGCAAAAACTAAACCCCAGAGTATATATA